TCACAGCATGGACCCTCCCTCACTGTGCTCAGCCACACTGTGTCTCTGGACATCCTAAGTTCTTTCTCACTTAGTTTTCCTTCTGTCTGTTCATTCCTCTGCTTGAGCCATTCTTATTTAGCTTATGGCATCCTTCACATTGAAACACCATTTTTTAATCAAAGCTTTCTTTTCCCACTCTGTGCAAACCTCCCCAGTCTGTCTCAGTGCACACGTTTTGCTCCTGGCCATGGCTCTTGTTACAACTTGCAACTGTTTCTGTGTTGAGTTTATCATCCATGCATTTGTCATTCATCCACCTCTATCACTATACTGCAAACACAAAGAAACCTAGGACCATAAAATTTCTCATTCATCACTGCCTGGCACATATTAGATGATCAATAAATCTTTTTAAATGAGAGAATACACATGAAGAAATATCTGTAGATATTCTCTGAAATGTTAATAATGCTTCTATCTTGGTATTGGAATTTGTGGTAATTTTTCTTTAATGAAGGTACTGGGGATTGAATCCAGGACCTTCTTCATGCTAAGCACGCACTCCACCACTGAGCTATACCATCCCTCATGTGGTAATGTTTAAATATCTTCTTTGTATACTTCTTATGTATTTCTGTATTAAAATTATGATGACTGTATTTTGTATTTCAAATTATATTTGTATTTCTTCTTATGAAAGTCTCTTTTCATTTATTTACACATACGTATGTGTAAATGAAAATATATATCTATGGTATATATGAAAAAAATATATAGAAGGAGAGTGTGTGTAGTTTAAAAATATGCATCTGATCAATACCCCTCCATAACTTAACCAACCATCGCTTACAGGAGAAAATGTAAACACTTTTTCCTGACATTCAAGTCCCTTTCAAAACTGCTTTGATGTCCCATTAAGTCTTACATTTTGTAGGTTCACTCACTGTGACAGTTCACCCTGAGCTTCAGCTGTAGTGGAAGCATCCCTGCCCTGGGTGACATGTTGCAGTCACACATCCCTGGGCTCTGGCTCACAGTCCCTCTTCTGACGGAGCATTCTTCTCTGTCTTCTTTGCCTGGTGAACTCTCATTTTAGTTCTGTCAATGACATAGCATTGAGTCCCCTAAAAAGTGAATTCCTAGCCATCTAGTGCCAGAGTGCCATCTCCAGAGTGTAGAAAGGCCAAGGATCTCCTCTTTAGCCTAGACCATGGCATATTGTAGGACTTTTTTTTTAATTGATGGAGTTGCAAGTAAATTTTACAAACACAATGTTCTAGTTAGTATTTGTATAATAATTAGCCCCAAATCAGTGAATTGAAACAACAATCATTTTGTCATCTTTCACTGTTTTTCTGGGTCGGGAATTTAGGAAGGGCTCAGGGACTCTCCCGAATTCCTAGTCAGACAGGAGGGGGAGCTGGAATTACAGAGGGGCAGGGAACAGTTGGCCTGTCACCTCTCTGTGCAGTCTTTGGGCCTCTCCATGTCATCTCCCCACATGGACAATGGCACACGGGCATTGTATGCACAGAGACTGATTGTTTAGTACGTTTGCTAATACCTTGGGCTTCTAAGCAGAACAGCTGCTAACCTGCCAGCTCAGAACTCCAAAGGTAATCACCCCAGCTGACACAGTGGATGCCTCCTCACCTTCTGTGACCTATCTCAGAAGTTAGGCAGGCCATCTCTGCTGCATTCTGTTGGTGAAGAGTGAGGCACTAAAGCCAGCCCAGATTCTGTGAGAGGGGCTACAGATCCCACCTCTCACTGGGAAGACCATCAAAGAATCTGTGAAGATATTTTAAAGTCACCACAGAGTCTTGTAACTGGCCCCTGCACCCCCTGCAAAGCCCTCTACCTCCAACCCAGATAAAAGATCAAACAATTTGGGTATTTCACAAGCTGAAATTGCTAACATGTAATGCAAGAACTATGGTATTAGCTTAAACTGAATGTGTCCTCTTTGCAAACATTTTTTCAGCCTGTTTAGAAGAAAAAAGCAAAAGTAAGACAAAAAACAAAACTCTGGAAGTGATAAAAACACAGCTTTGATGTTGATAATTTACAACTGATGTAGACATTGCTAATTTCTGCTTTTATCAGCCATTGTGCTCCCACTTTAGACACAAAGAAATCAAAGAATTATGTTAGTTAAGGAATCCCTCCTTTGATCTGGAAGTTGCTACGGAGGTAGGTGTGTTGAAACAGTTCGCAAATCTTACAACAGGCAAGAATTTCAGAGCTCTCAGAGTCCAGGTGTGTCCACAGGCTCATTTCTCTATTTCCTGCACCAGAGACAGGGCTCAAGCAGCCAGTTAGAGAGTCTGGACTGTTTTCTATGAAAAAAAGAAAATGGGAGATCCCACCTCGTGCTAGAGATTCAGCCATTTTTGAAGGTTCAGAATGGGAAAGGGGCCTGAAAGTTCAGAGAAATGACTGGGGACATTGAATTTTGCTAGAGGATGACTCAAGGGATGGAACGAGTCATACCATGACCTTTAGAAAAACACGTGTATAGATTTATGTCTTTATTGGTTTGGAGGGCTGGCCTCTGGAAGTGGGATTCAACAACCAGACATTTGCTAACCCCTTAATTGTGGGAGGCTCTCTACCTGACTCAGAGTGGCTACAAAGGGCAGGCAGTCTGGGTCAGGCTGGCTGGAGAGCCCGCTTCCTTTTCCGGGAGCAAGGTTGAACATCGGGGCTGGGAACTGAGCTGAAAGCTTTGGAGTGCAGAGTCTGACCCCGAAGGTCATGGACAGGCCCAGCCTATCGTCCCATGAGTGAATACATGCACACACACGTGCTGGCTTTGTGCTGGGAAGGGTCCTGGGAGATAAGACTGGACAGCAGGAAGGAGAGATTTCCTCTGTGGAACCAGATCATGCTGCCTGAGGCTGGAATAAACACCTCGGCACCTTCATTTCTACCAGTTGCTGTGCCATTAACCACTTAATTTGGAAGTTTCAGTCATTTTATTTGCTTCAAATTAAGGTGATTTATAAAAAAAAATTATAACTAAATGCAACGTAGTTTCTCACCTTTACAACCCTCCCCCAAATCAATAAATTGAAAACCAGTATATAAGCATGTACCATATCTAGGGACTGGTTTATCTATGGGAATTAGGGTAATACAAGTCAGTACTGTAGTTGGCAGACCTACTGTGTGCCACACTCTGTGCACAATGGTGTCACTTTATTAATCTTCAGAAGACCTATTTGTGGTAGGTGTTATTTTTCTAATTTTATGTTGAGAAAACTGACCTTGGGAGGTGAGTCAACTTCCTGTGGGTCACAGGGTATGGATGGTGAGTTTGGGAGCCAAGCATGAACTTGTTTTGACTTCCAAGTGCCTGTTTTTTCCCCTTAAAACACACCATTTATAGCTCTGGCATCTGGCAGAGAAGCTTGATTCAGTTTATGTGCCCAAAGGATATAAGTAAATAGATATTGTTTTCTTTCTTCAAACTTTTTTTTTTCTTTTTAAGCAATTATATCATAGAGCAGAATGAACATTCGAGTTTGAGCTCTGGCTGCACTATTTATTGGCGCTAAGTACTTGGATAAGTCACTTAGTTTCCCTTTGAGCCTAGTTTTTCGTCTTGAAAATGGAAATAATAACTTCTGCTCTACTTATGCCTTGAGATCACTATAAGATTGAGATAAAACATGGTCCAGGAAAGCACATTGCAAACAGATGGCTCCAGATAGCTCTTGAATTGAAATTCTGCCCTAGCACTCATCTGCACATACGTGGGATCCATTTCTGGCCCATGGACCTCTTTGGGAGCTTGGTTTTCAAGAGGTATGTTGTTCCTTGTAGATGGAAGGGTGTGTGGAGGGACATTATGTACTGTGATTACTACAATCGTGAGTTGTTACAAAAGCCCATTTTCTCTTTGGGCCTTTGGCAACACTGAGGTTTTTTGAGGTCCATGAAGGATGCCCTACCATATGTACTGAGGGCCCTTCACCCTCTTCCTCACCTTTATTCATTGACTCTTCATTTTGAGTCCAGGCTGCAGTTCATAGATTTAAATGTGCTGAACCTACCAAGATGGGGAAGGTCAGGTGGCAATTCTTGGCTCTCGTGACTGGTAAAGTGAATCTATTCATTCAACATTCACTGCCTTTGCTCATTTATAGGGTTAAACATTTATGAGTGCCTCTGAACAGAGTGTGAAGTGTAGAGGTGAAAGAACAAAGATTCATCAATGAAGATAAATGAAGTCCCACCCCCAGGTGGGGCACAGTCTACGGCATAGTGCAAGCCAGAAACACATAAACAAAGGGTTACAAAAATGTCATGACAGTGACATGCACACTTGGAGCTAACACATTTCCCTCTGAAGGCTGAGGTGGGCCAGGTTGCTTTGGGGTCTTATTGGTGGAAAGGAGTCCAGCCTAGAGGCAGGAAGTGATAGGAATCCGAGCACACTCCTTGATCATCACCTAAAGTTAAATTTGGGAAATTGGTATTAGGCGTTGTGTGCAAATGAAATAAATAAGCTATAATATAGTAAACACAGAGACAGGTAATGCAAAAGAGGGATCTGACTTTTGCTGTGAGCAGACCCAAAGCTCAGATGGCCAGTGGCCAGGAAGAAGGAGTGAATTGTACTCATTGGAAGATTTAGAGCCCGATACGTAGAAAATGCTGTGGGAACTGAACCAGGAACAGCATTTGTGCTGGATTTTGGAAGCTCTTGAAACAGCTCATGACTGCAATTGTGTGATGGAGTTACACATAGGAGTTTTCTTAATATGAACCCGATATCCCAGGCAAGTTGCCAACATGCCCCAGAAAATAAGATTAAGTTGAAAGTTAGATAATTGTGTCTATGGGTATTCATTGACACTTTTCTGTTTCCGAGATAACCTGGTTATTAAATCACATCGAAGAGGAGGAGCCACAAACCAGGGCAAGCATAACACCTCTCCTTCCATCCCAGCAGCTTAATTGTGAATGGAAAGCTCTTCTTCAAGTCACAAATTTCATAGATAGGGGGGTAGGGGTACAGCTCATGCTGAGCATGAATGAGGTTCTTGGTTCAGTTCCCAGGACCTCCATTTGAAAAAAAAAAAAGATCAAAGACAAGAGATGAGAGATTTAAGCACCATGAATTGGAAACTTATTTTATTTTTGTTTACTGGAAAGGATGGGATCATAAAGGTGAGAGGACTAGGGTTTAATAGGACGTTGATCTTAAACGCGCAGGTGCACCCAGGTAGTACCTGGTGCACACCTGAGATTCCTCCCATATAGGACAGAGTCATGCAGTTAGCTGCTAGCATTTCTGAGATGGTGGCTCAAACTCTCCTCTGCTCAGTCTCAAATGAGTCAGTCAGCCCCTCCCAACCTTGGGCTCATTTTTTTTTTTAACTAAGACAAAGTTCTCTTTCTTGCAAGAATGTGGATTAAAGAATGTGTGTGAAAAGCATTGTCCAATGAACTCTAGATTCATGGAAATTCCTGGTTTTCTCTTCCCTTTTGTTACCCCTTTCTGTAACATAATGCTAAATAAAAGTTTGGGGGCAGTGGGGCATACATTGCTGAGAACCAAGCTCTGTGCTTTTCCAAGAGCTGGGTGCAACCATAGGTTCACAAGATATAATGCATTTGGCTCAGGTCTTTCTAAATGGAGCAACTGCGAACCAGGATCTAACTGTACCTGCATTTCTTTGTAACCCAGAGTGTGATTTCACAAGGGCACTGGATCAGGGCTGCTCTTTGATACTTCATATACAAATATAATGATTTGCAGAAATGTCTTTTCTATCACAATATTATAAGACTGTGGAATTTCATTTGCATACCCCCTATGATCTCATTATACACTGTTTTATCTTCCACTTTCTATCTGTCCCCAGTTAATTGGGTCCTATGGTATTAAGCTGCCTGAAAAGGCAGTTTCTGCTATTGAATTTCATATTTGGGCTTACAAGTGAGTTGGTACTGATAGTGGTGTTATATGTACATAGTAAGCACAGGACGCTTCCTGGAGGCCTTATCTCCTTCTTTAATATCTTTTAAGTCATTCTTCTGGGGCTTTATCTGCCTATGCATGGTTCTCCAATAGGCAAGATACCTAAAGCTACCACCCTTCCTCGTTAAGTTGATTCAGTTTCAATTTTCCCATCAAGATGCTCTGCCCCAGTGAAAACATTTGGCCCCATTGTTTTTTTATTTCCAGCTGTCAGTTTGAAAAACAGTGACTGCCTATCTGCCTTTCCCATCTTGCTGCGTCAGCAGAACTTGTTGGGTGCTTCCTGTTTGCAGAAGACATGCCATCACCTTCCACCAGAGGTGCCGAATCTGCACAGCTGGCCACTTTCAGGAGATGACTGGCAGGGGATTCAGCCCGGGATTACACTGGTTGAAAAGACACAGGCCTGGAATGTGTGCTCTAGGCACCATCAGTGAATGAGTTCCCACACAGACAAAGCAGTTCATAGGAGAAGGCCACGTGGAAAACTAGAGGAAGGATCTGGGGGAAAAAAGAGGAAAGAGGGGCATGTTGAGACTCTCACAGGATCATGCCTTATTTGACTAGTGAAAAATATGCTTATCTCCAATTCTTGAAACATTTCTCACGTGCATATATATATATATATATATATATATATATATATATATTCTCATGAAATGCTTTGACAAAGAACTTGGGGAAATCCAGATATACCTGGTCCCTCTTTTAAATTCCTTCTCTTCTTCCTTCTCCACACTAACTCATTTGTCTGATGATGCTCAGCTCAGATGCCACCTTCCTTTTCCACCTCCGCACCCTCAGTGTTGGCGGAGGGGGGGGGTACACCCTTCACCTGTGCTCACACATACACACCTACACTCAGCCTCATCTTCACATATGCCGCACTGCACTGTGATTGTTGGCTTGCCTGCCTTTTCTACCCAAGATGAGACCATATAGTCAATTCATCTCGCATCCCTGATGCAAGGCTCTGGTGAAAAGAGGAGAGATGCATTGGGGTAATGACCAACTATCCAGGGAACACAGTGTCTGCTGACTGTCTGAGGAAGGCCTCCAGCAAGGTCAGTCAGGTGGAGTGAATGGCACCTAAGCCACTACGTTGAGCCTGGCACCATTCCTGACAGGTGGTAGATTTTTAAATAAAGTTCTCTTGACTCCATGAGCAAATATTTGAACAAGCAGATGAATGAATGAACAGATGAACAAATGAATGAATGAATGGTTTTTGCTGACTTTCTTGATAAGACATTATTTTAGATAAAGCACCAGTTGGAAAACACTGGCATAGCTTCATAAAAATCGATGAACCCAAGTCCCCCAGAGTAACATAAATAAGACAAAAAAAAAAGAAAAATCTATATGCTTGGAGTAGGTATTTTCTACATCACGCCAAATGCATGCTTGAAAATGCCCTTTCCATCCCCTAAAGAGGATCATTTGGTATTTGAACTTCTCTTTACAGAGAAATCAGTGACCCCTCCATTAGCATGTTGTATGAACATTGTGGTTAATGTATGGAAGCTGTGTTGAGCATGGACAGTGCTTCAAAATAACATGTGTGCAGGGGAAAAATGGGTAATTTGGTTCATGCTACATAAAAATCATAATAAAGATAAAGAAAACAATGATGAGCTTGAGTTCCATCTCAAAAAGCTTGCAGGTACATTTGCAATAATTGATAGGACACTGATTGATACGTCACTCCAATTATTAGGTAAAGGTCTCTATTTTCCTCAAAGCAATTAAGAAAAAAAATACCACAGTAAACAAATGCTTCAGTGGGATAAAACTGTCTCATTTGAACTACTTTTTTTTCTTTTTCCTTTTTAATAGGCATTCACTCATCAGACCTAGGGAAAAAAATCCATCTATAAAATTGGCAAATATCTTTGGAAATGCACCTCCCTTCTGAAACTTGTTTACTGAAAGGAGAACAGGAGGAACATAATTGTCTGGCTAAAAGGATACCCTTAACAAAGATGATTGGAAAACTTTGATGTGTTTCCTAAACTGTTTCCCCTCCAGCTGGATTTTAGCCAAACTTGGATCTGTAAAAGCCAACTATTGGCTTTTTTAATCATTTTATAACTCAGAGTTGCAGTAAATATACTTGTTGCATGCAGTCTTTATATTTGTTCATTTATTCATTGACTCAGAAATTTTTTTGTGCAATTTTTCTGTGTTCCAGCCACTCTGCTGGACACTTAAGATGCGATGGTGAGAAAAACTGATGTGTTTCTAGCCATAATGAAGCTTGTAGTGGGGGAAGGGGTGGTGATATAAAATATAATCACATATTAAACATATAATCAGGCAACTAACAAATGATCATCATGATATGCTGAAGAGGTCAGTATCAAAGTATAATAAAGAGGCTTGGCTAACTAGTAAGGCTGGGATCACTCCTCTGAGAGGTTATATATTTGGTGGGATTTAAAGGCTGAATGACCCATTAGCAGCAAGACTGAGCTATGGAGCAGAGAGAAGCAACATTTAAATAATCCTCTGAAGTCTGTAAATCTCCTGCATCCACATTTAATTGTGTTACAAGCACACTCTGACCTCTCTGTTATTAGAAAGATAAGTGCTCACACACACACGTATAGACACAAATTCTCACTTACATACTGAACAAAAACACAATTCTGATACATGTTGATCAATGTGGCACAAAGTCTAGAAGGTGTGATCAGGATGGAATCTCAATATGACCCACCGTCATTGGCAAAATACCTACTCTGTGTAGGGTAGCTGGCCTAGATTCTTTTTTTAATTCATTTATTCTGACAGCAAACCTGGTGGGGGTGGGGTTTTGTTCCCATTTTATAGATGAGGAAAATATGGTCTAGAAAAGTAAGTAACTTGAATGTGGGTACCCAGGTAAGAGGCAACAGAGCTGATATTTTCAACCAGGTGCACTGACCCCAAAGCCAGAGCTCTCTCCATCCTGTCACACGCCTCCCCAGGGATGTGCTCAAAGGGCTATTACCAACCACATCCGTTCATCCATTCAATTACTGTTTACAGAATATTTAACATGTGTCTGCCAGAAAGCATGGGCCAGGAAACAGACACAGTCCTTCTTCACATAAATTTGGGCTATCTTCTTTCAATCCAGGAGTTAACAAAAATATTGTGGATTTAGATTTACAATCCAGAAGTAATATAAATAGTGATGAGTGATGGAAAAACAAGCACACAGAGCCCTTTTGATCTACTTTAGGGTTGGTGAAGGCTTCATGGAATGACAGTTAACTCCGGGCCTGGAGGATGAGAGTTAAGTTGAGGATGTTGCAAACTTTCAGGCAGAGGAGAACTTATATAAAGGCCTAGGGGTGGGAATGTGGAGGGCTTTATAAACCATGTTAAGAAGCCTGGAAGACACAGTAACAGTGAATATTAACATCAAGGATAAAAAGTCAAGAAGTATCATCATCAAATGGAAAATTCTAGAACTTCACTGCTGCAGGAGGTTAGCCATTGACTGATAACTTCCCAGAAATATCTGCTTGAAGTTATCTGCTCAGATTTTGTTGGGATACACCAACCTCAAGGAGTCCCCAAGTAATGACATGGTCATCTCGAGGAGTATTAAAATGGGAGTGCAGTTTTGTGTTGGAAAGTGACAGAATGTTGAAAAGAAGTTAGTTGCCTAGAATTATAATTTCAGCACAGAAGATGTCCATACTGACTCATGTAACCGAGTATTATGGGGTCCATCACAATAACAACTGTTGCTGTCGAGTAAAGGATCCTTTGTGCCACGCTTCTTTAGATACTCTATTCTAAATGTTGGATAAAGAAGATGTGGTATATTTATACAATGGAATACTATTCAGCCATTAAAAATGACAACATAATGCCATTTGCAGCAACATGGATATTCCTGGAGAATGTCATTCTAAGTGAATTAAGCCAGAAAAAGAAAGAAAAATATTATATGAGATCGCTCATATGTGGAATCTAAAAAAAAAAAACAGCATAAATACAAACCAGAAACAGACTCATAGACATAGAACACAAACTCTTGTGGTTGCCAAGGGGGAGTGGGAGGGAAGGGACAGACTGGGAGTTTGAAATTCTGACAGGCATGTGT